CGACTAAGACACAACGACGCATGTCTCGTAGCTATCGTTTACCGCACGCAACGTCCACTCCGGAAATGGATTCCTGCTTGATCCGTGTCCTAAACAGAGTAACACGCACTCGGTACAGCCACACTCTCATCTCCTGGAACTTCAATCCACACGATCTGGAGGTATCGACATTACCCAGTGAACAGTTCAAAGCAACCTTGCATGATCTGATCGCTAATATTCCATTGTACAATCATGTCACCACACCCACTAGATTCAGGACAGCAAACAAACCGTCCATATTGGACCTTGTGCTCAGTAATGAAGAGCTCATGCTTGACAAGTTCTTAATAGATAGTCCATTAAATCTCCGTGACCATGTATTAATAACGTTCAACTATGTGTGTTATGCAAAGTATCTAGCTGAACACTCGGAACAAACTCATACAATCACACGCCTAACCAGGCACTGAGAGAACTCGCTCGACGCAGCTGCTTGGGAATTCTCAAACATTAGTCCGCTTGACAACGTTTGAACAGAGTTCATTAATAGACACAGCGACACCATCAACAGAGCAACAGAGACCAAGCCCTTTGCCCCGAAAAAATGCCTTCAATTCTAAGGAGCAGAACTCGCAAATGTCTGGTGACAAGTGATGCAGCATGGCGTGCCTACAAGATTATCCCCGACTCAGAGACTTGGGGCAATTTCCTGACCCATCGCAACCATTGCACTGCACTTGTCCGTGAGGACAAAGTAACTTATCAACAGTGCCTAGACAAAAAAATGCATCGCAAACAACAAACTGCTATATAGGCATGTCAATAAGCTTCGTAAAGTGAAGCATGGAATCACCCCAGTTTTCACGACAGGCGGTAGAGTACAAAGCGCCGAAGAAGCAGCTAATGCCATGCGGCTACAATACGCCCCAATTTTCGAACTCGCAACCTCTACCTGTCCCATAATGTCATGTACATTACCAACTCCACTGTTTACACATGCAATTTTCAACCCATCATTTGGGCTAAGGAAGTTACTCTCGCTGAGTGAGCATAGTTCTCCAGGAGCAGACAACATCCGCCCGAAGGCACTGAAGGCTTTGGCCAACAAGCTAGCTGAACCACTGTCACAATTCTTCCAAAGGTGCTTTGATGAACCACAAGTACCCACTATGTGGAAGCGTGGCATTATCACCCCATTTTTAAAGGAGGTAGCCGTTCAGAGCCTGCAAACTATCGCCCAGTGACTCTCTTCCTGTGCTCGCAAAGTGATGGAAGCGGTCGTCGCTGAGGCTTTAATGGACTACCTGGAAAAATGCAACATCTTGGTACCGGAACAGCATGGCTTCCGTCAACACCGGTCATACACCACCAACCTACTGATTGCACGAGGTAGTTGGACGGAAGTGGCCGACGATGGGGTCGGAGTTGACTTCATCTATCTGGACTTCTCCAAAGCTTTCGACCGCCTTGATCACCGCATCCTACTTCAACGGCTACAGAGCTACGGAATCGGAGATCCTGTACTTGGTTGGATTGGCAACTTCCTTCACCAACGGAAGCTTCAAGTACGTGTTAGGGGATCACTCTCTAACCCAATTGAGGTGGAATGTGGTGTCCCACAAGGCTCAGTGCTGGGACCGCGCTTATTCCTGGTGTTTATCAACGACCTGGCAAGAGTTATCTCCTCAAATTTCCTGCTTTTCGCCGATGACGTCAAGATATGGCGGGCGATTAGTAACAAGCCAGATCACGATCTGCTCCAACATGACCTAGATTGCATTTATGAATGGTCAAAGAGGAACATGCTTCAATTGAACATAGCTAAGTGCAAGGTGATACATCTGCGTCACCAGCCGGTGAGCGCTTACAAGCTTGGAGACCACACCTTGGAGAAGGTCTCTCAGGTGCGTGACCTGGGTGTATTGGTACAAGACGATCTTGGGTATACAAAACAAGAAAAGATGTCGAGAACCGGAAATCCATACTTCCGCCTTCTTCGCAGAGCCTTCGGTCGGTTGGAACCCTCAATCTTTCCCCAAATGCTTAATGCCTACGTGCGACCGCACTTGAAATATGCTATTCAGCCGTGGCAGCCGTGGCAGAAACAGGATCTTGTTGCTCTCGAGATTCCTCAACGAAGGGCAATCAAGTATGTCATGGCCTCTTTCATATGCCCTACCAGCTTAGACGAAAGTCTCTCTGAATCTACAACAGCCGATATCGGCTTTTGCAGGGGGGATCTCATAACGGTTTACCAGATTCTGAAGAACCCAAACCACATTTGCCGTCCGCTGCTGGAATTGAACCACAACACTAACTAAGAGGTCACCCTCTGAAACTGACAATTCAGTATAGCCGGCTTGAATGCCGTAGAAGTTTCTTTTCCCTCCGCGTGTGCCAGCCTTGGAACGCCCTCCCTAATTATGTCGTCTCTGCTCCCAATCTGGCGATATTTAAAAAACGAGTTGACGATGCATTGTCTCATTTACATTTCATTTTATGACTTGTTAGCCAGGGCTACAAAACGCAATCAAACGGTGTCTTGCCAAACGCCTAACCAATGGATTTATGGATTTATACGTTTAATACGCGAACATCTCCGCTATTCTACATAAGTCTATGGTGAGTCCACCAAAACGCTTTTCACTTTATCATGCAATTCACTTTTCGCAATAATTTCCATCCCACGCGACTTGTTAAGCAGTGCTCTTTTACCATTAATAAACCATTGTTTCATTGTTCCATTGTGCACCCGAAAGATAGCGGGTCCGGCACATGGTCACTTCACTGACTCATGTGGATTGATGTCCTGGATCTTAGCAGGGAGAAAGGCAAAACCCAATTCCCAAACATCGGCCGCCACGAGGAGGCGTCCATGACGTGAGACCATGGTCCAACAGTAGCAGCAGTGGGTGGACCGACTGTGTGGATCTAGTCGCCACCAGCCTCAAAGCCCCATAGGTTCTCCCTCCATATATATATATATATATATATATATATATATATATATATATATATATATATATTAGAATCTGTGTTACGTATATTGAGCCATCAGAATGGTGGTGGAATAAGTAAACAGGATACGAATAGAAAGAAAAAGAACATGCAGCATTGTTTCACTAATGTTTCACTCACCTTTTTGCATTTTATTGTATTTTTTAATGGGGAACTTAAGGGAAATCACCGTAACGTGTGGAGATACACGTGCGCTATAAACTTCGGTCATGAGCCATGACTTCCAGAGTTTCTAATCAGCGGCACTCTGTAGCCCTAAAATTCCAACCAGGGATTCGTGAACAACCGACCAAGGCCAAATGTTTCCTCATCGTTTTCGTGTGATTTCCAAATGTAGTACGTTGTCTACCGTGACGTGTCCTCCAGTCCTGTCTAGCAATCGCGAACAACGCCTGGTACAGAAGACGATGAGCGGACATGCGTACTTGGTGTGCAATCTGCCACAGCAGACGCAGCGGGACCACCTTCTCTAGCCAGTGGCTGCCTCCGCCCAAGACAAGCTGTCTAACTTCCACATTGGTTACTTGGTACAGCCACCACACAGAGACGATGGACCGCAAGCACCGGTGGTCAAAGACAGAGACGGTGCAGGTCAACGGACCGAACAGCTCAAGTGTCGCAACCGTACAACAGTACAGTGGGGAAAGTTGGACTATAAACCTGTCCTTTAATGGATAGACGGATGTCATGACAGTGCCACAAGTGTCTGAGATTGAAGAAAGGGAAGAGCGCTCTTGAGATACTCATGGAAATCTCATCTGCAACAACTCCTCCGGCCTTCTGCGACTTCTCAAGTAGGCAAAACTCTCCGGAACCTCCAGTGTCTCACCATCAAGAGTGAGTGTAAATACAGCCATCTGAAAGTCTTGGAAAAGAGCTTTACACGGATGGGGAAAAGGCCGTCCCATACTTTGCAACTTCAATTGCGAAGCGGTTGAGTATAAGTTGGACGGCCCGTGGACCGCCATCCAGCGGCATGATGTCATCAGCGTAGTCCAAGTGAAAAACTCGGCTACCTGGGAGGACTTCAACAAATTTTCCAGATCATGTTAGAGGACACCCTCAATGGCAAAACGGAAAAGGAATGAGGAGATAGGGCATCCTTGTCCAACTCCATTGGTGACAACAAAGTAAGGCGAATACTTGCCCTCAGCGCTCACCCTACGTGAGGTCAGGATGTTCATAACAGGCAGTACGGAAACGAACTACCATGGGACGCCATTCCTCAACAAGCAATGATACAATGAATATCTGTCGACAGAATCGAAACAGAAACAAAACAACAGTTTGTTTTTGTTACACATAGCGGAGCTCGACGATCTGACGGAGTGTGAAGATTTGATCGATTTAACCGCGGCCAGGGTGGAAACCAGCCTGTTCTTCCCGCTGCAGCGATTCTTGCATTGGAGATAGCCTTCGAATTATGATGGACATCAAAGCCTGAGAAACGACGGGAACCAAGGTGATACAGCTGTGGTTGGAGCATATTGTAGGCATGTTATTTTGAAGCTGAGGACGACAATCGACTCACCCCAAGATGATGGAACCTTCCCATTCAGCCAGATTTCTGAGGAAAAGCAGTAAGCCCTCGAACCGGCGAATAGCTTCCATCCTTAAATAGGTGGAAGGTAAGCCATCAGAGCCAAGTGCTTTATAGCGCTGCATTACAGTCAGTTAGAATGTCGACGGAACTTTTACTCTCTTCGTACGCATCAGCCTTGGAAAACCCTCTCAAATTATGTTGTTTCCACCCCCAATTTCCCTGTGTATGAATACCCCTTGATGTTGCCCTAAGGCACTTACACTAGGAGATAATGCATGTGTCCCGACAGACAAAATAATGTGACGAACGTTGCACAATCAAAATTAACCTATACATTTTTGCTTGGCTCTTTCTGCGTGCCTCTGTGTTAACACTGTGGTGAGTCCACAAAAATGATTTTCATTTTATACATTTGTTTTCTATTCACCAGGTTGTGGTTCCCTTTTTGGACATCCTACGGGACTTGTTAAGCTTTCGCGTTTTTGCCCGTTATATACCATTGTTCCATTGAGTTCCTGACAGATTTACTGGTGAGTAGGAGGCTGTCTGAGGACAGACCATTCAGCACCACTGAGCGCTCCAGGGATAGCAAATGGAATTGGTGGCCCGCGAAACTGCGAGCCAAAGTATTCATCCCCCGTTCCAACCGTCGCTGAAGTTTGGTGATTAGTGGGCTATCCTTTTCGCAGATCCTTTTGCTTACACGAGACCGGAAACCTTCGGTGGCTCGGATAAGCTGGAAAAATATTTTGGTATTACCAGAAAGGCTAGCGTGTTCCATCATTTTAGCACGTTCACATCACCAGTTTTCATGGTCCTAGTGTAGGCTCCTGCGCAATTCTCGATCTAGGGATCGCCCTTCTTCACCACAGTTAGAATCAGCAGGGACCGAGCGGCGTCTGTCCATCAGCGAAAAGGAGATAGCAGTGATCCACCTTATCTGATGGTGATGGGTGACCCACAATCATCAATGCTGGCAGAAACTAAGGCATTTTTGATTCGCATCCACTGTGAATTCAGATAAACTATACAGCTTCGTGGTCAATGGCAATGGTGAAAGCAGGTGCAACAGCAGTTGGATAACTGTCCAGTGAGCGGCCAATGGATCACCGAATGGCTGCAGAAAGCCCGTTTAAATTTTTACCGAATCTGTGAAAAATGGATGAACTAGGTGTCCCGCATGCCACATCATATTTCACATGATATTTGGAAAAGCATTCGCACAGTCCATTTAATCGTTGGTTTAGAAAAATTGCCATGCAAATGGTGAGAGGCACAGTTGGTTTCCAAACCACCATCTACTTTCGTGTATAGTCCTCTGTGAGTATGCACTGACATGTTGTTTGTTGCCTAATCCATCATATTCAACACGATATTCAACACGATAACGCAGACACCTAAATTTGGTGGAGCCAATCGCGCATTATTCTGGCTCATAGTCACAGATGAACCGTTAAACTGGTCTGTCAGCACGAACAAATGATGAAGATACGTTGGCATGCTAGCAGCACAAAATTAAATGTTACCATTACAGATATTGACTAGCAAATTCATAAAACTCCGGACAATTGTGGGTTGCATACTCACTGAACACCGTGTTGCGAGTACTGAACTTGTGGACGGGACGATTGGATTCAGGTTGTGAGTGCGTGCGTGTGCATTGGCAACCTCGACCTGGTTGGGTGAGGTGCTAGCTTCTTGTCTGCATAAAACGACGACCAAACTTTCCTTTGCCTATTAACCTCATAGCTCCTTTCTCTGCAGCATTTTCTCCTGGGGAGAATCGCTTTCAGTTGGCTCATAGTTACCAGTGCGTTTGCTAAGATATTGCACTTAAAATCTATTGGTATGACTACAAAACTTCATCATGGAATTGGAACTCTCTAATGTTAGCATGCTATTTCTTGGAAACTATATTCACAGGAATGGGGGCAACTTATACTAACCATATTTCGTAAATTAGCGTGAACGGCTAGGCTACTCCATTACAGTTCAGGTCTGACTGTCACAGATTCAGTATCCTGCAAATTCGAATATTGTTTGCTAGTTTTGTGGGAATTCAGCGGGGAGAGTAAACCATGCGCAAGCCGACTGACTGAGTTAGCCAATACTACAACGTGTTGCATTCAGTTTTGTAGTGGAATTTTCGATAATGATATCGCCCGATACATTCGCTTTTTATAAACCGGGGTGTGCGTTTATTCCGCCGCATCCATATATGTCCAGCTCAGTTGCTTCGACGCCCTAATGTTTGAGTGATGCAATGAAATTTCGGCTTCAGATTTGCTGGAGAAACCTGTATAACGAAATGTTGGGGACCGTAAATTAATTCGTTTAGAGAAACTCAGTCTTATCGAAACAGGTCAGTGAACGAAGTAGAATAATTGCAGGGACCTTAAAAAGGAGACGAATTTGAGTAGTTACTTATACTGGCACTCCTTATAGTGATATTTTACCGTATCGTGAACGGCTTCTAATCGGCAAGTTCATCAGTTACCAAAGTTTTCACCCGAGGTTAGCTCCGGTGATGAAATACATTGATGAGTCTTCTGTGAGTGAATAGATCTAATGTACGAGGTCATCCAGTGTGCTGGATAATAGTTGATGGTATCAGTTCGTCGAAGTGCATTTAACTGGGTTGAGCTATCGAGCGTCTACTTCTCGTCAATGAATAAAGAGCCTGACCGTTGAAATGAATTGCGTGTAACAAAGGTTAACCAAAGGTGGAGCCCACGAAAAAACAGAAGTATTACGGTTCACTCTGCGTTTGGCGGCATTTGTGCAATCCAACGTTCAGTTTTTTGTGGCTAGCATACTACTCGTACATCCATGCGCCAGCAGTCTGATGTACACAATCTTTACTAGTCCACTGTGAATTCAATTAGGTCTTCTTAATTGGTAGTGAGCAATGGGGAATCAGCTATTTTTAATGTTTTACAGACGACTTCACTCTACAGTTACGAGAGAATTCCCAAGTGTGTACGTCCCTTGATACAAACACCACTGTATTTTTCACAGTATAGCCAAGGTTGCACTTACTTTGATATCTACGCCCAAAATGTCCACTATTTATTCTTTAGTGGGAGATGAGCATGTACTGGTTCTTCCTTCTTGCGGATTTGCCTACTGACACAGAGTCCAACACAAGAGATATGCAGCTGTTCTATCCATATACCAAAGATGTTAAACGTACTCCAGTGAGCAGCAACTCGATGTCTGCTGTAAGAGCGACGATTAGTTAATTATGGAGTTTGAATTTACTCTGTTGTCTTTGTTTACGAAGGAAACGAATTTTCGACATGCGAGTAATCATCAGTGTTTCTAAGGTTGATTTCGACAGGTGCCGGGAGAATGCTTTGAGACAATTGGGTGGGGCGATGTTATTATTCTTTGTCCAATCCAACATCAAAGAAATCCAAATAATAAAGTATTTTTGTGAGAAACTCCATTTGCAAATGAATCATTCTGCATCATGCAGCAGGTTGCAAGTGGCATGAGCCTGTCTGATTCCCTGCGTCGTTTTCTTGGAGAAATTTATGCAGCGTTCCAACCTCAGAAACATTAATTATAATTGTGTATGATGTGCCACAGCTACTACAAACTTATGATACGGAAACTGCACCGCACTTCCGTTTGCATCTGACTGCTGCTTACTTTCCTCTGTTTCGTCCCTGTTTAAAATGCCACTGTACCCATTTTGTGGCGCAACAGCAGGTCTCATAGATAGAACGTTCAACAGGATGAAAGTTTTCGTGAGTATGCAACAGAATCTCATACCCATATTCCTAACAATATGCTAGAATATTGAATACTGAGAATCGAGAGCGAAAAGGCAATTATCTGTGTTGCTCCATAGTAGGTGGATCGGGAACATGTGCGGAATCATCATGCTGATTCCTGCCTGGTGGCAGCATATTGCAGTCGCACTAGATCTTATCCGGTTTCGATACGGTTCCCATACCCGGTGGTCCGCAAAGTGGGCGTCAAGAAAGCACTTAAATTCCGACACCGATTTCACCTCAACCAGCATCCCGGCAATTGGTTCCAATATTTCATCACTTGACACTCGAAGCATAGTGGTTGAGCGATGCGCTTTAAATCCGGTACCACTAGTTTGTACCGGTGTCCTCGTGTGCTGCTTGGTGCGCGAACGTGTACCAGCGGCATCAAGCTAGGGAAGTGCTTCAGGTGCAGTATGCCGTACGTTATAATGAGATCAGCTTGAAGCCGACGACATGACAGGATTTAAAGCCCTAGTCTCCTACGTCGGTTCTCGTACGACATACCACGTTAAATGAGGATGAGCCGGGTAGCTACAGGCTAGATCCATTCCAGTCTCTGCACCTCATCTATTATGATTGGACAATTTGCTGGTAGGCCGTACTCAAGCACCGGTCTGATTATGGAAGAGAAAAGACGACTGACAGTTTCTTCAGATCAGGCGCAGAAGAGGCGTCTAAGTGCCCAAAGCAGACGTAGTCCGTTTGCGTACAGTCTGTTCGTGTTGTCCATAGACTTCAAATCACAGCGTAAATGTACGCCTAGATCTATTACGGAACCGGTGGGATGCGGCCCTCGGCCGACGAGCGTGTACTCATGCCTATGACCAACCCCTCCCCAGGCTGATAAACTAGGACTTTGCCGGGTCGACGGGTAGGTCAAATTCTACACACCACCGGGATGGGCGGTCGAGGTCTTGCCGAAAGCCCTCCCAGTCGCCAGAAGAATCAATAATCCTTCAAAGCTTCAGGCGGTCTGCAAATAATGCTCATGGCAACCGAAATAGCTGAGGTACTTCCTCGATGTGGATCAGGAGTAAAATAGGCCCCAGCACTGTACCTTGGGGTAAGTCGCCAGTGGACGAGTACCATTCAGTTAGGTGGTCATGCACCTGTACACGCCATGTTCTCCCAATAAGGAAATCACGGGGCCACTGCTGCAGTCCGCCACCAACATCAAACATCCTCAATTTGTGGAGAAGGACTAGGTTGTTCAAGTAGATGAGATGTAATAACATCGAAACGAGTCATAGTATTGCAATGTTTTCGGGCGGGCAACGTCCACTTTCTATTTGCATCAGCTACGGTCCTTGTGATCAAAAGACCAAGGTTCACTTCAATGGGAATCGCGGTCAACATTGAGATTGTGCGTCGTAATCAATCCATACAACGTGTACTTCAAAATGACCCTCAACATCAGATTGTTCACTTTATCGAGATCCTTGCTGAAATCAGTATAGATTATATCCGCTGACTTCCCCAGTTCAACTTTCGCCATCATACCTACCGGGTCAGGAACAGGTTGGTGATGCACGAGAAACTCTTCATGAAGCGGTGCTGTGCCGGCGTTAGGAGATTTTTCGACTGCAGCAGCTGGAGACGACACTT